ATAGGATGCATCCCTGGCGTACGCCCTTCCCAATTTTGAACCATGCAGTGTTCCCTTGCTCTGTTCTGACGACTGCCTCCTGGTCCAACTATAAGTTTCGCATTAGAACGATCAAGTTTTCTGGGATTCCCATTCTTCTCAGAGTCAGCCATAGTTTGTTATGATCTACACAGTCATATGCCTTTGCATAGTCATGAAACACAGATAGACATTCCTCTGGTATTCCCTGCTTTCAGCCAAGATCCATCTAACATGATTATTTATAATGATGGTAAAAATGGATATCATGAGAGATTTCAAGAACTAAGATCTTGGATGCTCACTCAGAGAGGCACTTAATCATCTCTTACCAAGTGTGATCCGTGGGTCACCAGCACCACAGCTCAGAGGCATCAGTTCTTTCTCAGTCTTCCTAACTCATTGTTCAACTTTGACATGCATATGAGCCAAATCAAAACAGTACTTTTTGTTGTGTACCGTTGAGTCAGAAACCCATTTATAGCTGACTGGTGGGTTTTCAGAGGCAGTTAATTGCATAGGTGGAGATTGTTCATCCTTCTCCAGTGGAGCATCTGGTGGATTCAAACTATGTGCCATCAGGATTGCAGCACAGCTTTTTGCCACTAGGCCACTAAAAATAGCACCGTTGTTGTTGTTGTTGATGATTGTCTTTGAGGTGAATCACAACTCATAGCGACCCTATGAACAAAAGGCCTGAAGCCCCTCTATAACTGTCGACATTTATCAAAGTTCATAGAGTTTCGGGAGACATGTTATTTAGGAAGTGGATTCCACTCTTGCTTCCAGACCTGTCAGAGTATATATATTTTTTTTTAAATTGTTTTAATTTTGTTTTATATTGGTTTGCATACAAAATTTGTATACATGTGTTTCACACTTTCCTTTATTCACGTTGTCTAACACTAGTTTTGAAAGCTAAACAAAGAATTGGTTTCAGCTGCTGAAATTCAGTTAGCTATTAATTCACCAGAAATGGCTAAAGCATCCTTTGAACCTTTTGCCCCTGATGGTACACTCAAATCATAATAAAATAAACGACTCACCAGGTTTTCTTTAACTATATTCCCAAAGTCCAAGTTATCGTTTATCTTTGTATGCCTTTCACACTTAAGATTGTAGTTCATCAGCAAGCAGGGAGTAAGCTTCCACGCTGATGTCTTATAATGCAATGTGCAATGGTAAACAATGGCCTGTGTTTTCAGGCTTTTATACTTTGGGTGTAGGAGGTTCACTCCTGGAATCTTTGATATAATCAGATCTACTGATCAAATAGAATTCTTTGTTGGGAACAAGATTGATAAAATGAGCAAGGCGGTTGCACATAGCAAAGAAAGCGGAAATGGCTGCTATGTCCCAGGCGTCCTCTTGGTCAAAGCCATGCACCTCCAGCTTTTTGAAGTGGTCATCTGTTATGTCGTCAGCTTTGGAACCAGCAAGTGCAAACTCTAGCATTGCCTTTTCCCGAGCAGGGAGGTCAGACTTTCTCCAATTCATACAAACCTGGTCAGAAAGCACTGGGTTCTTCGAGTAGACTCTGTACCAAGCACTGTGGACAACCACGTTGTTAGGGCACCTGTTTGCTATGCTGGTCACCAGAATGATGAGCTCTTTGTCAGCTTTGCTGAGGTGACCGGCGTCCATAGGCCGCCAAGCCTGCGCAGCACGGACATGGCGGTGGTGGTGGAGTGTCCAGGCGGCCTTCCCGCGCGTGGTGCGCCCCCTCGAGGACCACGCCCCGCTAGAGCGCCCCCTGTGGGCCCAGAGTATATTATTTTTATTGTTATGTGCCATTGAGTCACCTGCAATATATAGCAACCCTATCTACAGCAGCTCTGAACCCTTCCATGTCCTGAGCCAGTCTCATTAATTCCAACACACAACCCCATTGCCCTAGTATCAATCCGTGTCATCCATGGTCTCCCTCTCCTGCACTTTCCATCCACCCTTCCAAGCATGATAGCCTTTTCCAAGGACCAATCTCTCCTGGTCACGTGCCCAAAGTAAGTGAGATGGAGACTCAGAATCCTAGCCTCCAAAGAGAGACTTGGTTTCACCCTTTCAAGACAGACCTGTTTGTTTTCTCGTCAGTCAAGACTCTTCTCCAGAACCACAACTTGAAGGAATCTATTCTTCTTTTGTTATCCTTAGTCATTGTCCAACCCTTTGAAGCATAACAAGTAATTGAAAAATCCATGACCTGGATTAGGCACACCTTTGTATCTAGACTGACATCTTTGCTCTTCAGCACTCTGGAGAGGTCCATAACAGCAAAATTTCCCAATAAAATTAATCTTTTGATTTCCTGACTGCTGGTGTTAAGAGTGTTGATTGTGGATCTGAGCAAACTATAATTGTTAACAACATCAATCTCTTCTTCGTCTTTTATGGTGCTGCCAGTTGTCACAGTGGTGAGAATCTTTGTCTTCTTGATGTTGAGCTTCAATCCGTATTGAAAACTACACTCTTTGACCTTTTGCAGCAAGTACTTCAGGTCCTACTCCATTTCAGTAAGCAATGTTGTATTATTTGCGTATCGTAGGTTTTTAATGAGTCTTCCTTCAACACACTCTTCATAAAGCCTTGCTTCCCAAATGATCTGTTCTGCATACAGATTGAAAAGGTACGGGACAGGATGCATCGAGATGTACTCCTTTTCTGATTCTGAGCCATGCACTAGCAAACATTTATTTCAGAGGGCTGTGCTTTACATGCATAATCTCATTTGATCTTCATAATAACTTTACAAGTATGTTATCATTTTATAAATGGATAGAGAAAGCTCAGAGTACTTCGTCCACTATAATCAAGTCAGGGGGAGAGGGATGTTAACTTGAAGTCAGGTATCTGTTTTCAGTGCCTGAGCTCTTGATCATAACTTTGTAAAGTTTACGAAATGTTACTTTAGTTTTCTGAATGTGTTTAGATCCATAATTAACAGCCATGGAAGAAGCAGTCGAGAAATCAAAAGCTGTGTTGATTGAAGTGAGTACATTGGCCATCAAGAATCTTCAGAGTACTAAAGAGGAAGGATGTTACTTTAGACATCTACGTGTACCAGCCCCAAGCCATGGTATTTTAATTTGGTTCATATGGATGTCAAAAAAATTGAACAATTCTTCAGTACTGAAGCATTATCAATGCCTTGGAGCTGTGATGTTGGTGTAGAGTGTTGACTACCCCATGGACTGCCAAAACCCCAAATTTATCATGGAAGAAGTAAAGGCACAGTGCCCCTTGGAGGCAAGGATGATGAAATTTTGCCTCACAGACTTTGGACATATTTTCAGGAAGGACCAGTCCTTGAAAAAGGACATTCATGCTTGAAAAGTTTTAAGAATCAACAAAGGAGAGGAAGAACTTCAGGGAAATAGGTTGCCACAATGATGGTATGCCAGTATGGTAGAGATCAGTGGATGTCACAGGATCAGGCAAAGTTTTGATCTGCTGTGCATTGGATTGTTGTGAACTGGATGGTACCTGGCAGTACCAGACAACAGGCATCAAAGAGCAAGAACAGTGACATCTTTGATAAAGCAGATGAAAGCAGAACCACTCTGATTTAAATGGGAATGGAGGATTTGGAACTTGGCCTTTTCTTTTCAGAAGAAAATCTTCAGGTTGTTTTGTGCCTATTCTGACAATTAACAGCCTTAGAAGTGAAGATGAGATTATAGGAGTAATGCATGATTATAAATTAGTTCAGTCAATTTTGATAAAAAGATCAGCTCTGTTGGCCTACTGGTAAGGACCTGCATTGTAATCCCAACGGATTTGAACATGGTTTGAATCCACCAGCTACTCTGTGGGAGAAGGATGGGCAATCTCCTCCTCTTCAGTTTATTGCCTCTAAAAACCTGCTGGATGGTTTTGAGCTATGAATTAGTTCTGACTTGATGGCACACAACAACAATACACTTTTATATTAGTTTAATGAATTTTGATAAAAATATGAAGGTGAAACCAGGCTGCTCCTTGGAGACAAGGATCCTGAGGCTTCATCTGACACGCTTTGGACATACATCAAAACCTTAGAGATCATTGTCCTTGGAGAGGGACATCATGCTTGGAAGGGTAGAGGGGCAGTGCAAGAGAGGAAGACCCTTGATGAAATGGATTGATTCAGTAACTGGGGTAATGAAGGTAGAAGTGTCAGAGACAATAAAATTGGTACAGGACAGAGCAGGGTTCAGGGCTACTGAACACAAGCAACTTGATGGCACATAACAACAACAAATGAGTCATTTGAGTTTTATAGTTGAGATGTCTTATTTTCTTACTCTTGAGTTTTAAGAAATATATGGTCTCTGTCAAATATTTTGAAATATAAAATTAAATGGACAAATCTGAAGTAATCTAACTTCTTGTTGATAGTCTAATAGGATCAGTGATATTTTATATTTTTAACTGTTTGATGTTGATGCTGTGGAAAAATTACAGGATATAACTTTTTCTTTTTTTTTTAACACAGGGACTGCTTGGCATTTTGTACGGAACCAGTTTTTGCCAGTTTAGCAAATGTTCTTGGTAACTGGGAAAACCTACCTTCTCCTGTATCACCAGACATTAAGGATTATAAACTTTATGATGTAGAGACCAAATATGGTTTACTTCAGGTATATATTTTTATTCATCATGTGAAAAAACTTTTCTTTAAAATGATTTTGACTTTTTCCTATTTGTTAGTCTCATAAACTACTTTTAAGAACTTACATGTAAGTTTAAAATTACTTCTGTGTTCTAGTTTCCCCCCCTATAGTTTGTTGTATTTTGAAATAGTAAATTGATAAATTTCTGACCTTTGGGAAGATATATTGAGTGGCTGGATCACAACTCCACTTTCAAGTGAATACATTTCATAAACAAAATATAAGTGAAAATAAAAAAGTAATACAAATTTTTAATGACATCGTTAAGAAAATTTTTTAGTAGATAGCAAGAGATATTTTGAACCTTTATGTATTTTACTAAATTTTTTACTTTCCTTATTTATCAAAATAGTGTTTTCAGCTCCATTGAAACAACAACCAACAATTTATTTTTCTATTTTAATTTTTCCTCTCTTATTTATTAAAAGGCTACTTTCAGCTTTGTAGAGTAAATTGGTACAACTCACTGTAAGTTCTTTCAGGACACAGATAATTGTACTCTTTTTTTCATTGTCCTACAAAAAACTGATTATAATTGGCATATCTAAAATTTTTTAAAGTTTTAAAACCATCACCATTCTCAAGGTAATGATTCTATCCAAAACCTTGGACATTTCTGGTTCCTTTGGAGTCTCTCCATCCCAGTTCCAGTGAAACCATAGAACTGCTTCCTGCACAGCTTTCATTTTCTAGAGATGTAAATGAGTCATATAGTATGTACTCTTTTTTTTACTGATCTTGCTACCTTCACTCACATTTTAAATAGCCACCCTCTGTATTGTTGTATGCCAATAGTATGGCTATTTTTGTTTTTTAAAAAAAAATTTTAAACTTTTTCTTAAAATTGTGATTTGAACAATATAAAATTGGAAAGGTTTTAAATTTGTATGTTCTCTTCTTTGTGTCTTTGGCTAGAGGTTTATCAGTTTTACTCATTTTCTTAAAGATCCTGACTTTCTGTGGTTGCCATAATGAATTAACCACAGGCTTGGTGGCTGAAAACAGCAGTAGTTTTTTTGCTTACAGTTCTGGTGCCAGAAAGAAGTCTGAGATCAACATACTAGCAGGATTTCATCCCACAAAGGCTGTTTAGGAGAATCACTTTCTTCCTCTTGTACATTTAATGACTTAAGACTCAGCTTAGATTGTGGCTACCACAGTTCAGTTACTTTTTTTTTCATGTGTTTGTGTGTATATGACATTTGTCAATGGTTATAGGCCCCACTCACAGAATCCAGGTTGATCCCCTCATCTCAAAATCCTTCACTTAGTTATATCTAGTAAGATGTAAGATTAATAAATTCTGGTGGCCTCGTAGTAAGAAGCTGCATTGCAATCTCAAAAGTACACAGGTCAAATCTGCCAGCTGCTCCACAGGAGAAGGATGGACATTCTCCTTCCATGCAGTTTACTGCCTCTGAAAGCCCACTGGAGGGTCAGCTATGGGTTCATTCAAACTCGACATCAAACAACATGGCAGCATTCACATGTCTAAGGATTAGGACATGGGGATTAGATACGTCTTGGGTGCTACCAATGAAGCCTTTACGAATTCTGACTTCATGTATTTTTCTCTTGTTTTCTACAGCATCGATTCCCACTCCTTTCTTAAGTTTGATTATGGTTGTTTTCTTCATAAGGAGAAAGCCAAGGTCATTGGTCTGAAACTGTGCTTTTCTTTCTTTGAAAATTTAATTTAATTTTATATTTGTGTGTGTGTACCATCAAATCGGATCTGACTGGTACAGGAGGAGATTGCCCCTCTTAAGCCATTTTTTTAAATTAATTTAGTTTGTTTATTTTTCATTTCATTGAACATCTACAGAGATTTTGGAATTCCATTCATTCATTGTTGCACCCTTCTCCCC